ACCGATCGATCGGCACACCTCTAGTTGGAGGATTTCTCTTTAGTCTTTGGCTAAACCCCACAGGTTATTTCCTCCGGTAGCGCTAGGCTAGCTCGTTTGTTTTGGTTGAATTTACCCAGAATGCCATGCGCTGCAGTCCACTTCCTGCTTTTGGAGCGGCCTCCGCTCACGGCAATATAACCGAACCTGAGCTCACTTTAACCGAACCCAGATCGAGGTTTGTAGGTTTAGAGTTCACTTTCTTAATGTTCTGATTATATATATTTGTTCTCTGAGAAACTTTCTTGTTTTTAAGAGTTCATGTCTCTTTAAAATGTGAAATTGAGTCATCTAACTCTTTACTAGAAATATTCTTGTTTGTGTTTTATATCACTTAACTAGAAAATTTGTCATTTTAACGAGCTTTATGACATCAAAGTTTCTCGTTATGAGATATAAAAGTAATATAGTTACAAAAAACATTTTTGTTTTAACAAATTTTATATCTGCTAGAGAAACTTTTTGTTGAAAGCGATATGACTCTAAACGTTAAAGGGTCTCATCATGACATAAAATTTGTCTTGTTGCCAAAAACTGAGTTTTATATTTCTTGTTAAAGTTTTTCTTTTTAGTTTTTTTTGTTGTAACAAATCTCTTCTCCTTGAGAAACTTTCTTATTTTGTATCATAAAAACAATAGAAATTTTAATGAGTTTTATGTCTTTATACCATCATGAAGGTTTCTCATTATGAGAAAAGACTGTAGTTATGAAAAACTGTTTTAACAAGAAAAATTCTGCTTACAGGCAGAACTTTTTATTTGAAATAAGATATAAAAAATGATTTTTCTTGTTTTAATGAGTTTTACATCTTACAACAAGAAAAATTCTCCTTAAGTTTATTTCTCATGATTACATATAAGTTTCTCGTTTTAAGTTTTGTGTCTCTGAAACAACAAAAATTTTCATCTTAACTAGTTTTATTTTTTTAGAATGAAAAACCCAAATCAAAACCTTGGAAGACTTTCAGGTCATCAGAAGAAAAGTTTAAAAAATAACCTGGAACTTTTTCCTGTTTGGAGGAAAAAAAGATGAAGAGGATCAGAACTGAAGCTTCAGACAAACAACAAACAGACACTCCTTCATGCAAATGCTGCAGAGTCAAATCAGGACTTCATGCAAAGCACACACACACACACACACACACACACACACACACACACACACACACCCTCTCTCTCTCTTTCAGAGCCACATGAGGCAGGCCCCAGAGCAGCAGCAACAGGTGTGTGTCTGATCTCCTGTGGATTTTTGCAGCTTCAGCTTCATTTCCAGTTTTTTCCTGCGGATCAAAGATCAAACGGTGAGACTCTTTTTTTTTTCTTTCTTCATTTTCGCTCATAAAATGTTTAAAAACAGAAATAATGCTGAGATCTGTAACCGATCAGGGATTTTGGTTTGCTTTCTGTGCATGTGATAATGTTGATGAAGTAACTTTAACCTGCAGAAACTTCAGATTATCAGTATTTCTGAGCCGTTGCCATGGCAACCCGGTTTGGCGGCCCGGTTCTGCCGCTCTGATGGAAAAAGCGGCGTAATACTGGCGCTGAATAATCCAGGAGTTTCCACAGGTTTAGCTTACCTGCTGAATCTGGTCTCACCTGTCCGATCCGCCCGCTCTCCTTTTCCCTTCCGGCTGGAGGCGTAGCGCCGCCCCCTGCTGGCGGAACACACGCCGTGCAGCTGTTCGGTTCGGGATCCGCTCCAGGAAAATATTCAAATTTCTGACTGGTGAAAGAAAGCTTCTGTGCTCGCTGCCAAGAATCAAATGTTTCATTAAGTAGAGACGAACTGCCGGTCCAACGGAACCACTGAAAGAACCCAGAGATCCAGCTAGAGGGACTTTTATGGAGCTACATTAAGGCCATGAAATTTGTTCAGAGGAAAACAAGTTTGAAACTAAAAAAAAGAATCTGAAAATGAAAAAAACAAAAACTGAATTTGTAAAGTAATTTTGAATATTTGTTTTAGTTTCACATCCTTATTTTTCAGTCTAGAATCTTTATTTTCAGTTTATTTTTTCAGTTTCAAATTGTTTCACAATTATTTTTCAGTTTCATTCCAGTTTGAAATGTTTTTTCAGTTCCAATTATTTTTCAGGTCTTTATTTTTTTAGTTCTATTCCCCACCCCCTCTCTAGGT